TGGCATTGTTCAAAACTATAACAACAATAAAACAAGAGGCCCAATGGGCCTGCATCACTCACCTGGTACTAATCTCAAAAGTGGACTAAAATACAGCTACAGGCAAAATATTAGTGATTGATTCATAAGAACCTATTAAAAGATTTCAACATATGACTCCTGTGACCTTGAATGTCAAACAAGGACATTACGTTGAAAATGGGTCAAGGTCATTCATTTGAGGAACTTGGTAGCCCTTCATTCAGCATGCTACAGGCCCAATATCAGTACCCTAGGCCTTTTGGTTATTGATAAGAAGTTGTTTAAAGTAAAATATTGACGCAGGACACCAGACGCTGCACCACAACATAAGCTCACCTGGCCCAAGGGCTAATAATGAAAAGAAACATTGCTAATCAACCCTACAAATATTTCATTTATCATAAAATATCTACAACATGTTACAATAAGCGTTTTTTATAGAAATTGTATGGATAAAAGTTACTAAATACAAGCTAATAGCAAACAGGACACATAGCTTCATACAAAAAGAATGAAAAATTGAACCAAATACAGTCTTTATAATAAATTTATTTAACATTTTACAATAATTTTGATCGAGGTGAGAGTTGTCTACCTTGAAAAAAATCGGAACTTTTTGCAGAGGGATAGAATTTATACAATGACACTTATTTTCTTTACTATACTAAAAACGACGGAAATAATTTAAATTACTATATTTAATTGTCAATTTACTGTTCTTTTATGGAACAAATTTAATCTCAATCATGTACACTTTGGACATCATTCCATAGCCCGCTTACGCATGGTATATAATTAACATGTCAGGTACATATGTAACCATAGGCTATCCCATGGTATGCCGTTATTACGTGCACGCACATGCACTTGCATTTCATAGGGATCTTGATATTTTACACTATTTTCACAGAGTTATTGTAATTGCATTTGTGAACCGATTTATCTGACAGAGCATAACTCGCTCGACAACAAAAGTCGTAGCGACCAAGAGCTTATGAACTACTGTTAGCACTTGATACGTACAGGTGAGGTCGGTAAACAAAACACATCAGTCTGCATTCCATGCGCCTCATATACGATCTTCTTGAAGTCGTCTGATCGTCTGTCAGTGTTTTCCCGTGAGTTAATTAATGTCTTTGTATCATAAGCTTTATTTCTGAAGTACGTGTGCTTACACATTTCCAAGTTAAGTCTCGATATCGGGTGTTGACATATCATCGTCACGCACGTGTACTATTGTTTACCATAATTTACACTACGGTAATGGAATGCCCGATACGCAATACGGAAATGACGACAGGAAAATACGACAAGAAAAACATGTGTATTACGATGGGTGGGAAGTCCTTAAGCTGAAATACTGTCAAAAGGATTTCATTGATACTTCATGGTAATTTTACTGACAAGTCCCTGACCAAAATGTGTTATTTTTCGGGTCGATCAGAAATCCAATATGGCCACCACGGCAGCCATTTTGAACAAGAGGCCCATGGGCCTTAAAGGTCACCTGATATATTTATACAGAGAGTTGATTTTGTTTTTAACATGAACAGAAATATTATTCAAAGTGACAAAAAACAATAAAACCACCTTACTCAATATCTAGCATACAGATTTCAGACTAAAAAGGATTTGAAACTAGCACCTCTGATTCTTAACAAGGAAAATGATGAAATTTTAGCACACTGACTCCTTTGAGCCCCACCCTACAGCCCTTGGGGGTAGGGCTGGCTCAAAATTTTCAAAGTATCAAACTGTCAATTCAAGGTTATAATTCCAATCAAGTTATTAACATGTAATATT